TTCCTGGGATGAGTTAATAAATTGATATTTAATCTGTTGGTGCTCTGGTGAGGATAGTAGTAGACAAACTTGTACAACAGATAAAAATATCCCTAACTTCTGTACTCTTGCTCTAAATAAATGTTAGCCGATTCCAGAACTGAATGTTCCAAAGAGTTTTGGAACAATTAGTCAAAAAGAAAACCACAGTTTATTAAATTTTCAAACCTGAGGTCATGTCAATTATACTAACAGAATTATCTGCCTTCATCGTGTTTCTGCACCTGCAGGCTACGCTTACACCTGTGAAGACAGGTGAGGGCAAAGATGAGGAAAAAGAACGGGCCAAACCCAAAGAGACTATATCCTCTAGCTTACTGGTAAACTGGACCAAGGTGGAGGGTCTGGGCTTCGAGGGAATGGGACTCAGCATAGGCCTGCACGGTGCCATCCGATTACCATCCTTCAAGGTACCAGACTACCACCCTGAGTTTTTGTTAGTTTGCTGTAGTACTGTTAAAGTTGCTCATTATCAATTGCTACTCGTTTGTTTGTAGGTTAAGAGGAAACAGCCCCCTGAGCCAACATCTACCAATGACAATAAGAGGGTGCGACCATCCACACCTGTCGACGATGAGCTGGAAGATGAAGGTGTGTGTCTTTGACATACTTGCCCAGTTAATTATATTTCTGATCTTGGACAACTTATTCCCACTGTTGGCTTTAAAGTGACAATGCTTTACATGATTTCATGCCATTTTTGTAAACTAACTTGGTAAGGTTCTTTTTTAGAGTCAGAAAGAACAGATCTTCGCACAGATGGTTCCAGAACAGATGGTGGTGGTTCTTCTGCCAAGCGAAGACCAGCCAGACCTCTGGAGCTGGACAGCGAAGGCGAGGAGGAGGAGGAAACCTCTGGCAAAGAGGAGTCATCGCTTTCAGACCATGAAGAGGAGCCAGTGGAAGATGCCTCTGAGAGGTTGTCCTCTGGCATGGTGAGCACCTATCCACAGTACTTCTTAATAAACCTTAATCAAGTGTAGTTATCAGGCTCTATTAACAACACTTATTTGAGCCTAACTAGGGCTGGACGATATGGCCAAAATTGATATCACGATATA